TTAAGTGCTTTGACCTTTTGAGCAGAGTCTTTGAAGCCTTCTCCAGGGACAACTTCATTTGGAGGTCTTGACCTTGACCTTGACCTTGACAGTGATCTGGACCTCATTCGCAGCTTCTTGTTCTGTTGGCCCATATCGACATCCATACTATCACCATCATGATTATTTTGCCTCTCAGGTGATCTCTCTCTTTTCCGCCCCGAGACCTACTGCGAGCTCGACTAATTGCCAATGAAGGATCCAGCCCCAACGCTGATAGCTGCCTGCCCATTCTCACTGTGGTAAACTTACCGTGCTTGTCAAACTTCCTCGGCACAGTGGGCCGGTTCTGGGCAGTGCTTTTCTTAATCCTGTGCTCTTGAATTAGCAAACTTTTCTTTTTCCTAATCTCTGCCAGTGCTTCTTCCTCTTCCGGTGTCAATTCCACAGCATCTATTTCAAAATCATCATCTTCCTCCTCTGCCTGCCAAACACCTTCTTCTCGCTCCAATTCCTCAAGCCTGAACAAAATATCAGGGTCAATGAAGTCATACACATTATGACCATCCAAAATTTCAGGCATTATATCTTCCTTCCATTCATCATCAGCCAAGATATAATTCTTCCTCAAACTAGCAGAATAAACACCAGCACCACCATTCTCCCAATCTTTCTCAGTTTTCCTCTTTTCAACCTCAATTGCTTGCTTAGCTTTTGCCTCCAAAACGGCCTGTGGGATAAAAGCTTGCCGTTCTTTCTGGTCACGAGGTTTTGGCATAGCAACATGAAACCTATTTAGGGCAGTCATTTATCTTTTTGGATTTCATCTTTAGTTCTACCCTCTGGTCCAACAACCTCTCGCAAGCAGCATTCTTTACTGCAATAACCCCCTCTTCAGTGAAAGTGCTCATTGTCAATAGAACCCCTCCTTCGCATGTAGCCTCACCTCCCTGACCCATCACAGTTTTCATAGCTTCAGCTTTCATCTCCATGACCAGATTCCTATCTTCCTCGGATATACCATCTAGTGGCTGTAAATCAGTCTTGTTGCATACAATGATCAACGGTTTATTCATAAACAGAGATTTTATGCTGTGAAAAAGTGCTGCCTGTTGAGCAATGCTGTAACCACATGACCCTGAAATATCCAAAAAGAACAATATAGCAGCTCTCAGATGGGCCAGAGCTGTAATACTGCACATCTCAATTATGTTGCGATCTTCAAATGGCCGGTCCAAAATTCCTGGGGTATCAATCACTTGGTACTGTAGGTATTTATAGTCTGTATGACCAACAAAGAGTGACTTAGTGGTGAAAGCATAAGGCTGAACATCCACATCCGCCCTGGTAATTTTGTTCATAAATGAGCTCTTGCCAACATTGGGGTACCCACAAATCAATATTGTTCTAGTATTCGGGTCAATTGAAGACAGCCTTGCCATGTGTTGTCTGATCTGTTCTAGGTAAGCCAAACTAGGGTTAACTCTCTTTATTACAGTACACATACGTCCAAGAGCAGCAACCTTAAGTGACTTGCATCGGTACAAAGAATCACCGTATTTCAACAATTTTACATAATCCTTTGCAATCTTGCTAATCAGGTTCCTAGCAGTATTAATTTGGCCAAGAGCAAGCTTGTAGTGATCCTTGTTGTACAGTACATGGAGGAGGTCACCATAGAAAGGATGAATACCGTCCAGGCGAGGGAACTCATCAATCATTGTGGAGAGCTTCTCATGAAAATTCTGCTGGGTATACTTTACTTTCCGCATGTAAAACTGGCGGAGGCGGGAAATTGCATAACCCTTGTGGACAACAGTTGGCGTTTGTCGTTGGGTACGAGAAAGGATGATATCAATGAAGTCCTTCCCATTGGGTACCACTGTTATCTTCTTAAAATTATATTGCACCATACTTGTATGTCAGTCTGCATGATCCAGACAGGTCACCTTTAAGTTCAACAGGTATATGTGTTCATTATTACTAAAAGATAAGTAATAGATACCTGTGATTAAGATCACAGGTATATGCATTGCTCAACAGTTCATTTTAGTCCATAGAAAATCAAATTCTACGTTCATGGAAAGAAACAAACACACAAAAATTTTTTGAGAGGAAAATATGAATTATTAGAAACAAGAACCGAGGGGTGCTATGTACATAAAGAGGGAATTTACAACCCAGAAGTCTTCTAAAACCTCATCAGAAGCAGAGATGACCCTTCACATAAACACTTACTCCCCAAAGATTAGTCGAAAAAAAAGCTTGCATATGTTTTTAGTTAAATTTCCAAAAACACACG